AAAAAGGGTCTCAGCATCTAGTTCTTGGAGTTGATGCATCAAGTCCGGCTGCTTCATGATAGCACTGACGATTGCAGTTCTGGCGGCAGAGAGTTGACTGTCGTTCTCCAGCTGTTCCATCAGTTGCATGCCCTTCTTACATTCAATCATAGGGCATCCATTGACAACCTGTACGTTGATCTTTTCTCCAGCTGGTCCATGTACCCGGCAGTCTCCCCCGCTCCAGACAATCTCATATCCAATCTTAGCCAGTGCACCCATGGGCAAAATGCCGTTCCCAAAACTGCCATCCGTGGGTGTTGACAAAAGAGTGCAGGTAGCATGCTTGAGACGCAAATTGGAGGTTGAGCCCTGGGCCAATGCCACCACAGTTTGATGAGTTTGATCCCACTCTTCCCAAGTTCTTGCCCTTCGCAAGGAGTGAGTAGCGCCACTGTCGAGCAGCATCAAGTTCGAAGGGCTCATCAAAGGATCTCCAAGCTCTTGCAGGGTGATCTTCTTCATAGACGGAAGATGAAGGGATTTGAGAAGTTTGGTGGCTTCACTGAGCAGCTCGCTGGATCCAACTGCAACTGCAGCGCCATTGGTCTCAGGTTTCTTGCCACCTCCGACGCCATTGCTGTTTGACGCCGATGTTCCATCCCCTTTTCCTTTCACTTCATCCTCCGCACTCACCACACCCTTGTTGACGCCTTCCTCTTTTTTGACATCAGCTTGAAGGCTCTCTTTGGTGACAGTCTTCTGCGTCTCAACTTTTGACTTACCTTTCCCTTTGCCATTTTTGCCTTTTCCTTTTTCATTTTTCTGATTTCCACCTCCATCATTTCCGCCTCCATCTCCCCCCGCAGGTGGCTTCACCTGTGTCTTGTAAGGGCACTCTGGTTGTAGATGTTGAGTTGAGCTGCAATTCCAACATCGGCCAGTCTTCTCAACACCAGACTCCCAGGGATGCGGCCATCGACAACGTTGCCCTTGACGGCAACCACCTTCTGACATCCAAAATTTGCATGGCCAAGAGCTTGTTGAGGAAGATGATGTGGATTTTCCCCCGGCAGATGGAGTAGTTTGCATCGCTTTCACTGCAGGCTTTGTTGGAGTTCGTGGTTCAGGGGTCGTACTAGCACAAGTCGTGGAGTGAACTGCAACCTCAGCTTCTGCCAGCAGCAAGTCGTAGAACAGCCACAGATTTTGCAGTGATGGCTGAACATCCAGGTTGTGCTTCATGCGGAAAGTTGCAATCCTGAAGCTCGCTTGTGCAGAACCATCAACGACTGGTTTGGAGATGCCATCCAGTGTTCGGATCATCAACAATGGATCCGGCAACTGCGCACAAAGTTCTGCAGCTCGACTTGCCTTTCGCTTCCAAAGCCGTAGTGCAGCCACTGACTCCTGAGCAGTCTTTGTAGTTGGCACCGTTGTGAGATCCTCCAACAGTCGGCTCTTTTCTGCGAGTCCACCAGGTTGAAATGTGCGTAGGATGCGGAACAAAATTCCAGCAGTAGCCAGCTCCCGTGCAGCCACAACCTCATCCTTGATGGCCTTGGGAACTGCTTGCAAAAGAAGGCTTGTGACCCGCTGATCCAAGCGCTCATACCCAGCTGAAAGTGCAGAGGTCTCAGGCGCAGTGATCTTCAGGCGAGAGAGTGGATCAGAGTACAGCCAAAGGGAGTACTTTTCGGTGGTGGCTGCCATCACACGCCTCCACCAAGCCGTGGCATTCTTTGACAAATCACCCACAAGAGGTTCAAGTTGAATGATCCAATCTCCACCCTCCAAGCTTGCATCACGTCCCTCAGGAGAGGGTAGCTGAGGCAACTGAATGGGTATTGCCTTCAGATCTCCATCTTCTACCACGTCACGATCACATCTCAGACCTCGTTGATGACTCGAGGCTCCTTCCACTGTGTGACTTCGGCCACCAGCACTTCCATGTTGACATACTTCACCAAGCTCATGCAATGCAGTGCTATCAGCCCGACCGTGATGGCATTCTGATTCTCGCGCTATGCCAGCCCGATCGTGAAGACGTAAACCGCCATGCATGATGCCAGCCCGACCTTGATGACATAAATCTCCATGCTCATGCAAAATGCTAGCCCGACCTTGGTGGCATAAATCTCCATGCTCACGCCACGTGCTAGCCCGATCATGTTGATATACATCACCATGCTCATGCGACATGCTAACCCGACTGGGAGGACATACTTTACCATGCTCATGTGCAAAGGAAGCCCGATCATGACGTGAATTGGCATCAAACCCTTGCTGAAAGCTAGCCCGATCAAGATGAGCATGTTCTCCAAGCACTGCACTCCCCCCACCAGGTTGATGAGCGTCATCAAACGCTCGCATGAAATCAACATGACCAGGTTGTGACGAATGTGGACATGCATGTGATGAGCTAGGCAAATCAGGTGTCACAACGCCAGCATTTCTTTTCATGTATGCCACTGCTTCACTGGTTTCTCTGTCCCTAGTGGCTTCAGTCACAAAAGGAACATTCCAATACCCTGAGGTAAACGTTGACTTGTTTTTGATGGCTTCTCTTTCCAAACGTTCTTTCAAAGACTCCACTTCTCTCTCAAGCCACATGGTTCTGGCCTCCCGTGGCGTGATGACGCCTCCTCCAATCTTGTACTGGACATCACCCATCACCCCACGAAGCTTCCTTGGCGGCTCCAAACAGGTTTCATAGCCCTGCAAGTCAACTGGCCAAGCGGGCAAAGGTGGTGGCGATGGTGGAGGAGGTCCAGAAGGGATACGTGTACCATTTGGAGTACATCTGAAAGTGTCTGGTGCCATCCAAACATGTTGAGATTCTCGAGTCTGTGGTGACTTTCGAGGTGGAGGTGTTGGTTGCCTAGCACTTGCATTCCAGGACGATGGAACATTCAGTTCACTACGCTGTTTCTCCTCCTTGAGTCTCTGAATTTCCTTGATCAAGGAGTCATTCTGGCTCTGAAGTCTCACCGTCTCTTGCTGAAAGTGCTGCAAAACTTGATCCCCCAAATCTTTCTCCAGTCCACTCTCTTTCTTTTCATTTTCATCACAACTTGGTACAGCTTTTGAAGACATTTTTTCATCACACTGTCCCCTTCTATTCCACACCCTCTCAGGACGCTTCCCAGTCGCTTGATCATGCTGCAGAGGCTCATAGGTCACCTCCGTCTCCAACTTCTCTGGTTCTTCAACGCAAGGCTTCTCGCTATCCAAAGTCAGAGCAGCTGGTTTCGCATCACCAGGAGTCTGAAACTGCAGCCCATGTTCCCGATCATGTCCCGACACACCGCTTGGCAAGGGAACACGTGGGGATTGATCTAAGTCATCATCATCATGGGGTACAGGAGCCTCCCAGCTTTCTAAATTCACTGGCCTCATTTGTTCCAACTCATGATCAGCTTGGGTTCTATCGCTCCAAAAAGGATTTGCAGGGGGCAATGAAGATGCTCTCCTTTCAGCTGCCATTGCGGATCCCTACGCCCAGCTAATTTGGGCTCATAACCCTTAGTTCAACAGGGCAAGGCACAGGCCTTTTTGGTCTCGAATTGAAATGCCTCACGAGTGATAAGATCAGATACTACACTTGCCAAGCACATGGCAAATCGCGTCAACCTGCAATCACATTCAGGGGAGGAATTGAAAAATGTCAAGAAGGCTGCCACTGAGCCACCACAGTTGCTTCTGAGCCAAGCCATGCAGGACCTTTTGCCAGAAAGCTTGGGCACTTTCCACCAAGAGAAGTTGAAGGCAGAAGCAACCCCATGACCCAGCTGTACCATGAGTAGCTGGGTTGCAATATGGTTGCTAAGGAATGAAGTTTGACTTCAATTCTAGACATGGTTTTGTGTTTTCAAATTTGTATCTGTAGCCTTTAGTTGCTTTCAACAGAGGAACCTGTTGCCAGAAGGCAACAGTGGCAGTTGCAGAAAGGTGTTTTGGTCCCTTTGCCAACAAGACCTTTGCCAAGGGCAAGCTGAAGATACACCCTATGGGCCAAGTAGCCCATGTGAAAGAAGTGAAAGCCAACATGATTTTGATTCATTGCCCAGATGATTCCAAGCCCCAGATCATTCCACCAAAGGTGGACTTAGGAAAGAAAACTGGTGCCTTGGTGCAATTTTTTCATTTAGTGAAAAGCCCAGGTGGCAACATGGAGGTCCACATGACCAAGACAGAGAATGGCTTCCAAGTTCCAATTCTCAGGAACACTTCCAAGGGATGCTGGGATGATGATTACCTCATTGGTAGCTTTAATGAGCCTTAAAACATCTTTAAAAGACATGGCAGTCAGTTGAGGTCATCTCAGGAATTGTAGATTCACATTGGAAACAGCCAAATCGCTGCATGTGGTTCATATTTGAATATATTTTATCTAGTTTTATCTGGTATCTGTCAAAGGCAACTGTGAGTTTTGTGCCCAGCAAGCCTCCCGCGGCATTGCGAGTGGCGCTGGCAGTTTCGCTCTTGTGTGTAAAAGCGTCTGTGTGTAAAAGCGTCTGCGTGTAAAAGTGTCTGTGTAAAAGTATCTGTGTGTAAAAGCGTCTGTGTGTAAAAGCGTCTGTGTGTAAAAGCGTCTGTGTGTAAAAGTGTCTGTGTAAAACTGTCTGTGTGTAAAACTGTCTGTGTGTAAAAGCGCCTGTGTGTAAAAGTGTCTGTGCGCAAAAGCTTCCGTACGTAAAAGTGTCTGTGTGTGAAAAGCTTTACAAAAGAGACGATGCAAACTACTGTCTTGTACTTGTGCTATATTGTCTTGATACTCCTCTTCTCGACTGCCTATAACACATCTTTAATATATGGTTTTGTAATATGGTGTCTCCATACTAACAAGAGGAGACTCTGCTCCTCTACGCTCTCTAGCCATCCGTCGCCTGGTTGTCTTGATGCCAAAGTTGCAGCACACAGTGCTTACACCATTGCACATGACCATGGAGATAATGAATTTGCAGCATTTGCTTTCAACAACACCTTTCTGGCAGCGTGCTGTGTGCACCACCTTAGCCATGTTCAGTGCCACAACTTTGCTGGCAGAATTGAAACCCAATGAGCAGCTCCTGGAAGCCAGGAATATGGATGAGAAGCTTGCCACAGGCCTCACCCAGCAAGCCACCTACAAGCTTTCCAAGATGAATGGACTGACCAGCCCAGATGCTGTCACGTTGCTGGATCACCTCCAGGCATCCAAGCTCCCAACAGCCATGAAGGATGCCATCATCCAAGAGTTGGACACCTTGATGGTGAATGCCAAGGGGAACATTGCTGCCAAGGTCACCAGCACAGCCAGTGCCTGTGACCACCTCAACAAATATTTGACCCAGGATGATTGGTCCCAGTTGGAGTCCACCAATTCATGGGAGGGAGCCATTGTGCTGGCCAAAAGGCTGAAGGCCATTAGGGTCAAGAGCATCAAAGAAACCACCAAGAGGGCAGCTGTTGCCATTTTGCTGTGCATCCAACAGCAAGAAGTTGCCACCATACTTGGCTCTGCAAAGACAAAGCTTGGCCATTGGGATTCTGAGCCCCTTGGCTTGGCACTTGCTGGCATTCTGGGGCATTGCGTTGCAAAGGCAAAGCTTGGCTATTGGATGACTGGCTCCCATTGTTTAGCACCTGCTGGCCTTGCTGGGCATTCCACTGGTGCAAATTCAATGGAAATGCACTTGGCTGCAAGGCATGTGTTGGTGCATTGCCATGTGTGGCTGGCTGCACAAGGGTGGTCCTATTGGCTCCTTGGAGGAGCCTGCTGGTTGGGCCATGATCAAAGCCATCTGGTCAAAGTACCTGGCCTCAGGATTTTGGTTGGGCTTTGGGTCTCCTGGGTAAACCTGGAGGCATGGAACACCATATGGAGCACCTGGCTGGTTGGCCACAGCTTGGGTCAAGTGTTCCACCAAACTGTAAATGGCATGGAATGGCAAGGCTACCAAGACACTGGACCAGTGGAACCAGCAAGCTTTCCATGCCATGTTAGAAAAGCAGCAAGCCCAGAAGATGAAAAGACCTGCAGCTGCCAAGGCTGCCAAGACTGCCAAGACTGACAAGGCCAAGGGTGCTAACAAAGAGAAGAAGCCAAAGGCCAAGGCCAAGGCCACTTCCAAGGGCCAAGGGCCATATGGTTGTATCAGGTGCAGAAGCAACCTGAAAGGTTGTGCCACCTGCAGAAAGCCAGGTTTCAAAGGCTTGAAAGTCCATGGCAGAGAGGCTTGGTACCGTATGTGCCCCAATGCCAAGTAGTCATGGACCAATGCAATGCACACGTATGGACCAACCATGCCAAGGTGCAATGTAATTCATTCATGCTGACCCAGCTGCAAAAAGTCAGCAATGAATGCTTTGGGTTTGCCACATGGGTTGCCATGTGAAGCCAATTCACATGCAACTTCCAGCTTCAAGGCCAAGCAGGAAAAGAATGCATGCTGCTTCTTGTTTGTGCATCCAATGCAAGCATGTAAGTAGCACTCAGTGCTTTACCAAGCTCATTTTGCAAAGCAGCACACAGTGCTTTACCACAGTCACCCCTTCTTTGCACAGGCATGCTGGTCCGCCTATATATACTCATGCTGCTTTTTCTTTATATGCAGATAGAAAAGAAAATATCACAGAGCCACAGACCAATCAACAATGTTGTGATTTACCAAAATCCAAACATGAACCATTTCAATTGCCATTAATTAGCACCAAGTTTTTCAAGGAATTGCTTCCATTTGCCAAACAGCAAAGCAATGGCTTCCTCTTCTTCAAGCAGGCCTGCCAAGCCCCAAAAGCTTAATGACTTGTGAAGGTCATGCCCATTTGTGACACAAGCAGTTTTAGCATCCTTGCTGCAAAAGATCCACCAAGAAGGGTTGCCTGATATAAGGCATGCCAAAGCTATGAAAGAAGCCACCAGGCTCCAGGTCTCTTCCATGAATGCCTATGGGCCATTGCTGTTGGAGACCAATGTACCAATTTGGATAGTGATTTTTTTTGAGCTTGCTGGTTGGAGCCTACCAGCCCCAAGGCTCATGGGCCAATTTTTCCACAAAGCCCATACAGAGAACCCAAGCAGTCCAGAGAAACCATGGTCTTTGCCGCTTTATTCAGATGAAGTGGTTCCAGGTAATCCATTGGCATCCAGGATAAACCGCAAGGTTTATGCCATATATGGATCATTTGCCCAACACAAAACCAAGCTCCAGTGTGAAGACGCTTGGCTCATTTTAGCCATATTGCCATCCACTATATTGGCTGAACTGGAAGCCAGCATTGGCCAAGTCTTTGCCAAGCTCATTGAAGCAATATTCTTGGGGCCAGCTTGTGATCCAAGGAATGGCTTGTACGTGCCACACTCAGTAACCTCCATGGATGCCATGCTATATTTTGATTTGGGTGGCTTTGTCCAAGATGGCTTTGCCATGAAGCAAACCTTCAATATCAAGGGGGCTTCTGGTGACAAATTTTGCATGTTGTGCAGCAACATCAGGGCCATTTCTTTTGATTTGCCACCAGATACACCAGAGGAAGACATCCCAGGGTCTCATGTATGCAAGCTTGCAAATTGCATCCTGTCCACTGATCAAGAAGTTTTGGATGCATTCCAGGTTTGCAAGGAAAAGTCCACCACATTACCCAAGAAGCAGTTTGAATTGTGGGAGAAAGCATGCGGCATCACCTTCAGCCACCATGCCCTTTTGCTTAACCAGACCCTGTTGGATAGCCATCTCTTGAAGCCAATTAGTGGCTACATCCATGACTGGATGCACACCATGGCTTCCCAAGGGGTGATCCAAAGGTCCATTTGGTTGCTCCTTTCCCAGCTGGACATGTGGGACCAGCTGGATCAATTTCTCCAGCTGTGGACTTTGCCAAAAGCTATGGCCAAAGCAGGGAACTTGCATGATTTGTTCCAGGCCAAGAGGAACAAATTTTACAAGGAAAATTCCAAGTTCAAATGCACAGCATCAGAGGCCATTGGCCTCTCCACCATGCTGGCATGCCTGGTAAACACCATTTGTGTGCCAGCTGCTGCCCATTTGGAAGCCTTGGAGATGTTGCAAGCCACCCAGCTTGGCCAAGTGCAGCCACCCATGTTACAGCACCTTGGCAGCAAAGTGTGTATGCATGTTTGCTTTTGTTTGCATCCAGCATATGTTCTTTTAAAGCAAGACTTGTTTTCATGCATGCAAATGTGACATGAGGCAAGCCATTGAAAATGCAGTGGACCCTTCAAGGAAGCCAATGGGGAAGCCATGATGCTGAGGAAGCATCATTGGATGCTCCATTTGGCTACCCATTTGCAATCATGGGGTTTTCTGCCCAATTGTAGGAGCCTTGAAAGAAAGCACAAGACCATCATGAAGTTTGCCAACCAGACCAAGAAGTTGACTGGATTCAGCCTCAGTCTGCTGGAGGAATGCTTGGCCCATGACTTGTACAACTTGCAGCATTCAGACCATTTGGAAGCAGGGGTGCAATTGTTGAACAGGCATGCTCCCAGTTCAAAATTCCATGATTTTCTTTGTGCTGCCATTTTCTAGCAGCAATTTCCAAAGGACCAGGTCTGGACTGCAACTTCAGCCAAGTTGCACCATGGTGCCTCCATCCACAACAAGGATTTTGTTCTTGTCAGCAGCACCAATGCCTATAAATGGCAAGTTGCCAGAATGGAACACCACTTTGAAGTCCAAGGGGTTGTGTACTCCATTGTGACTTTTTGCACATGCATAGAATATTTTTATTCCAGCCATTCAGCACAAGTCCAAATTCAGGATCAGCTGCAGCTGATAGAAACTTCTTCCATCCTTTGCCCTCTCATTTATGCAGAGGAAGAAAGAGCCACCAGGGTTCTCATTCCATGGGCCTACAGACCATCCAAAAACTAGATGCCATTGATGCAGGAAAATCAATGCTTCCCAGGTGCACAGTGTTCAGCATTGTCTTTTGTTTGTGACATGGGGGAGTTGCTTGGGGCTTGTAGCACACAGTGCTTTCATATTTTCATGTTGCAAATGAAGTTTCACAAAATCCAATTTTAGTGCCAAGCCAGCACTGCTGTGTGCTTTCCAAAACCATTCCAACCACCAGGACTGACAGCCATGGGAAATGCTTTGCAAGGGGAAGCACCCCAAGAGCCAGCAGGCCAGGTGCCAGCCCATGGAGCTCCAGACCAAGGAGGCCAGGGCCACCAGCAGCCATAGACTTGTCCAAGTTGTGTGAGCCAAGGAGCCATCTATGGGCACAACATTGCAGTGCCAATGCATATGGTGCAACAAAACCCATGAAAGAACCACATGCACCAAATGTGGCAGACCATGGGTTCGATCCTTCATGGGGATTGGCCCACATTTTTTTGGGCCATGGCCTCCACCTGCAGACCACCATGAGCAAGGAGGCGATGACCAAGCACCAGACCAAGGGCACCATGACCAATGGCACCACGACCAATGGAATTGGTGACCATGCCATGGACAAGGGCCATGCAGGACCAGAATGAGTGGCCACATCATACAGTGACCATTGCCAAAGGGTGCAACGTATTGGCAAGTGAAAAAAGTCAGCAGTTTCCTGACCAGTGGTGTTTCTAAGTTACCACAGCATCTTCTCCATGTGCATTGCTTTGAAAGCACCAATTTTAGCACCCAGTGCTTTTGGCATGCCACCTGGACAGATTCCATTTTAGCACCCAGTGCTTTTGGCTTAGCACCCATTGCTTTTCATACATGCAAGCCATGCATGCTTCATGGACATGTTGCTTTTGGCATGACATATTTGCTTCCAATTTGCTTTTGTGCACCAACTTTTCTTCCAGTGAGATGCAATCACACCATGGACAATGAGCTGAATGAATGGCTTTTGCATGGAAATCCAAAGCAGATTTCCATGTTGTACATACAACCAAATCCAATGGATTTGTTATATGTTGTTGCCAGGATAATCATTATAGCCATCAAATGCAAAAAATCATGCTCCATATTCTTGCCAGGATAATCAGCCATCAAATGCAGAAAATCATGCACCATTCTGATGAGATTTGTTATTTTATTTTCTTTCTTCAACAAGCTTATGTTCCCACCAAAACACTATATTAAAGGATTCCATTGAACGAAATTGACCCTTAGCAGATGCTTAGCTCATGTTTAGCTAAGTGCCTCCTAAGATGGCTAAGCAGGCTAAGTACTTCGCAAGGAACCGTCCTTCTCAAGTGCTCATCTGCTTCCAAGATGCGGCGGGGTGAGAATGTGAATTTCATCGCTTAGCATGTAATTGCGCACGTTGAGTCAGGGGGAACCAAGTAATATAGTTTGTAGCTGTGCGGTCGGGAAAACCTTCACAACTGTTGGTTTTAGATGCTAAGCACGTAATGCCTGTTGCTCTAGACACGGGTGTTGTGAAAGAACGTATATGAAAATGTGAAGTTAGCTTAATTGTTTCAAGAAACTGATTGTTAAAATTTGTCAAATTAATTTGATAAACATGTTTTAAGGTACTGCCTCAATTGTCAACCGTTCGGGGTCCTTATGATTTGTTAACCTTTTTTGACCATTGAAACCGAATGATGATTAAAATCCACGAATGATAGGAACGAATGCATTTTGTGAGCCAGGCGTACGAGCACAGACTAGGGTGTTGTCGCGTGTGATTATTATACCTAAAATGCTTTTATGTAGTTGATTGATACTCGCATGAAACACAATGTTAATGGACGGGTGATGGGGTGTACCAGATAATGCCCGTCACGCGCCGGGGCGGAAGTGTGAAAATAGGGAGTGACTTTAGGAAGAAGATGGTCAAACGCTTTAAATGAACCGATGAACCAATGAATCAATGAATCGGTGAGCGGATGAAGGAACGAAGCAATGAATCAATAAATCAAATCAATCAACGAATGAATCAAGGAAACAATGAATCAATGGAGCAAAAAAAGAAAAACAATGAATCAATGAAATGAATCAACGAAGAAACAAAGCAATGAACCAATGACTGACCGAAAGAATGAAATCAATGTTCAATAATCAGCAAACCAAACAATCAATGAGTTAATGAATCCGGAGCCAACCAGTCAATGAACCAATGAATCGATGAATCCATGAATGAATGAAACCATGAAACCATGAATGAATGAAAGAATATGAAAGAATATTAAAGAAAGAAAGGAAGAAAGAAAGAATGAATGAATGAGTGAGTGAGGTTACAGTAAACAACACATTGCTTTGCAGCGGCGTTTCAGCCATTGCCGTGCAGCAGTAAAGTACATGGCGAATCGATCATTTTGGGGTTTGTCCGGCATTTTCTCTGAATAGTTCTGGGTTTAATCTCGTTCATCAAATAGTTGTACGGAGCTTGTGGGGAATTGGTTGGTGGAAAACTGGCGTACGAGCAACTAGCCAAAACGATCATCAAAGAAAACACGCCAGCCACCACCCAAAGACCTTCAACACACCACAAAGCCAGAAACAAAGCACAGCCAAACAACCACCACACTACCATCAAAACATCAGGCCATCAAGCCACTACCAAACCGCCACCGAACCTACATCAAACCACCAAATGGTCGAGTGTGCCGCCAAACTGGCCCTAATGCTGGCCCAGACACAATTGTTCTTTCGGGCCACGAAGTTCGGATAGGCCACGACTATCACCCAAAAAGCCAAAGAATCAGAAAGCCACCAAATGGCCCAACAAAACCCCAACATCGCTTCCAAAAGGCTTTACCTGAGTTGAAAGCTGGCCACCCCCAAAAAAAAACAATCGAAACAAATTCGGCTCAGGTGTTTTTCGAGCCAGAAAACTTAGCCAAGATTGAAGGGTTCCCAACCCAACTGCGCTTCCGAAAATAGGATTCGTTGTGGAAGCTTCTCTCTCTCTATCTCTCTCTCTCTCTCTGTCTCTCTCTGTCTCTCTCTCTGTCTCTCTGTCTCTCTGTCTCTCTGTCTCTCTGTCTCTCTCTGTCTCTCTCTGTCTCTCTCTCTCTCTCTGTCTCTCTGTCTGTCCGTCCGTCTGTGTGTGTCTCTCTCTCTCTCCCTCTCTCTCTCTCTCTCTCTCCCTTCCTGTCTGTTGAAGTCTTTCTTCGGGCGAAGGTTGGGCCCGGACCGGCACCACAGCACCACGAATTGCAACCCCCTCTCCGTAGAACATGTGGGATGCTGGAGGTAGCATGTTTTGCTGATGCGACAGAGTGGTTCCCATGCGCAAGCAATCTAGTTGATGCTTCACTAGATCTGAGGAGTTCTTGCCTTTGGCGGATTTGTCTACCACTCCCAGGTTTGCCAACATTGTTTGGGGCTGCATTTTGGGTTCCCGGCCTCGTCGTTGCCAACGACAAATTCCAAAGTTGGATCGTCCGCCACATTTCAAAAAGTGTGATTTTGACGGAGCTCCCGGAACCTTTTGGGTAGATCGCACATGCCAAGTGTCAAGAATTGAAGTTAAATTGCGCCCTTCATGCCTTCGGATTGTGGTTGCGCGGATGTGCGAAAGTCTTACATAACAGCCAGGTGTCTTTGTGTAAAATGCTCCTTTGTCTAGGGTTTCCGCTGTGGAAACATGCGTCTTTGTGCAAAACGGTTTGTGCATGTTTTTGAGCAAAAGGGCCTTGGGTAAAAGGGTTTGGGCGGTTTGGGCATGTTCCGTGAAACGCAATGGGTCGTTGTTGAAAAAGTGTCTCCATGTCAATGGGCCTTTGACCAAAGAGTTCCGCTGTGTAATGTGGCATCCTTTTGGACGGGCTCAGTGTTGCTTGCGGCGCTTTGGAGTAAGCATTTCATTCGGGTACTTGCTCTAGATCTGATTTCAGCGAGGGCAGCAAAGGTTTTGTCTTTTGGCGGCGCAAGAATTTTGATTGAAAGAATCTTGGTGCTTTGGTGGTGTCTGGGACTGTCGTGCACTGGGCTGTTTGTTTGATGCAATTCAATGCTTGCAGGGTTTGCCATCGCGAGCCCACACCCCAATTTCAGGCTTAGTTTCACAGAAAACATCAACGGAAGGTGTGGTGAAAGAGCGGTGCGTGAGGAATTGGGAGTGTGAGGAATTGGGAAATACGAAACGGGGATTAAGTCTGACGATGCTGATGCTGCTGATGCTGATGCTCCTGATGATGCTGACGGCGACGATATGGCGACGATGTCTCCAGTCGGGATCGAGCGACGGCAAAACTGCTTGTGAAAAAGCTAGGTGGGTGGGGTAGGGGAGCGGGGGTAGTTAAGCGTGAAGTTTCATGTGATTGGCGATTCCAGCCCATGCCAATACCAAAGCAATAGGGACTTCAGCTAGCAGAAGCTAGCTGTCGTGATTTTCAAGGTGACAGCTCTACAAATCAAGCATACCAAATCGCAGATTCAACGTATTGTGACTGTTTGTTGTCCACAGCCGATTTTCCGGCGCCCAAAGATGTCTTTGTCCGCATTCTCGCTCAGCTGAATTACTTCACAGTTCCACTCTGTTGCTTGCCAAACTTGTGACAAGGGCCGCTGAGCCTGGATAAGTAATGCGGGTGGGAGACTGCATGAACAAGAAACTCGAACGCAAGGACTATAAAGTGGAGACATGGCGAGATGCCGGGACAAGCCAATGTACTTTTGCATGCTTTTGCCACATGCGCCGGATACCCGTTTTTCAAGAGGCATTTCTGAGGTCGCTATATTACCGGATCGGCACTTGGTTTGGCTTAGGTGCGGTACGACCTGCTCGTCAAAGTCAAACGAACACCCCTCCAAGCACAAACACTTTTCTTCAGTTTTCTAGACACAGCGACGATGAGTGCAGTTCAGCTTGTTTTGTCCCTGGCAGCGTTTGGCACTCTATCCGAAGCTTCCCCATGCCGGAAGTCGAGGTGCCCCTGTGACAGGCCATTCCATGAAGCTGTCCAACCACGAGGCGTCAGAAGGATGCCACTTCGAGCATGTCGAATTTCAGCCAAGTTTCACTCTGTTCCCGCATTTCTGCTCACAAATGCAAATTGTATTGGGCTGGCTAGAATGGTCAACTTTGCTGATAGCTCAACAACCTTGTTCAATGACTTTCAACACTTGACTCTCACGTCTCAGCGACCGTGGCATTTTTTTTTTTATAGCTCAGCTGAAATCCAGACTAGTTCAATAACTTGCCAACTCCGGTCCACTCGACCGGTTTCTTGTGACTTGGGCGAAAACGTGGCAGACCTAGCATGATCCTCGTCGCTGGCAACTGGATGTCATGGTTCAAAGGAGATTGTTGGACGCCCTGAGGTCGTCAACGAATTGCAGAAAACAAAAACCAAGGCCTTAAAAATGGGTGCAAATGTTCCATGTTTATTGTTTTTGTTGTTTTATGACGGTTTTTTTACGGGGGTTTAGGGGTGGTTTCCTTTGCTATTTGCGGCATTTTGGAAGTAAATTCTTTGATTTGGATGGTTTTTGCAGCGCTTTGACTAAAAAATCCGACTGTATTTTGTAGCATTTTGGAGCTCAAATCCGTTTGTTCGTGGTTTCCATCCGTTTCTGCATGGTGTTCATCCATTTTTGCATGGTTTTAATATGTGTTTTCCTTGGTTTTCATCCATGTTTCTATGTTTGTGTGAGTGTTAACTATGTTTCCATGGCATTCGTCCGTGTCTCCATGGTTTTCATTGATTTCTCGATGGTTTTCACCGATTTTTCCATGGCGTTCATCAATTTTTCCACCTTGATGATGTTCATCAGTTTCTTTCCGAATTTGTTTAGGGGTGGCAAAGGGTTGGATTAGGGTTTATTTACGGATACAATGCCTGCTGCACATATGTGTATACGTATATATGTATATACATATATATAAATACATACATACATACATGCATGCATGCATGCATGCATGCATGCATGCATGTACATACATACATACATACACACATACATACACACATACATACACACATACATACACACATACATACACACATACTACATACATACATACATACATACATACATACATACATACATACATACATACATACATACATACATACATACATACATACATACATACATACATACATACATACAAATACATACAAACAAATACATACAAACAAATACATACATACATAAATACATACATACATACACACATGCATCCGTACATCCATACATACATCCATACATCCATACATCCATACATACATTTACATACATTTACATACATTTACATACATTTACATACATTTACATACATTTACATACATTTACATACATTTACATACATTTTACATACTTTACATAATTTACATAATTACTACATTTACATTACATTTAAATTAAATTTGCATACAATTTGCATTCATTTACAACATTTACATACAATTACATACATTTACAGACATCACATCACATGCAATTCACATCACATCCATAACATTTTACATTACAGTACATTTAAATCACATACATCAAATACATCACATACATTACCCCCACATACATTCACATACAGAAAACATACATTTATACATACATACATTTATACATACATACATACATACATACATACATACATACATACATACATACATACATACATACATACATACATACATACATACATACATACATTACATACATAATACATACATAATACATAAGCAATCGTGTTGCACGCTTCATGAAGAGGGAACCCACCACCATCCCCCAAGTGCACCACCAAGCTTTCTTTTATGCATTGCAAGTTGGGTCAGGTTGACCCTCTATTGGATCTGTTCGATCCCTTCACCAAAGGCTTTGTCTCCGGCAACAACGGTCTCCAAATCTTTAGCGACCAGCTGCGCCAGAACAGCACCTCCCCTCGACACAGTATGTGCCAAGGGTGGGTGGGTGTGGAAAACTAAGAAAGGTGACTGAGGCATCCTACCTTTCAAAACTTGCAGCCAAAATGGCAGCCGGTTCATATCAGTGTGCTTCCCCTCCTTGCTTGTCACTCTGATGAGTTCTCAAGCAATCGTGTTGCACGCTTCATGAAGAGGGAACCCACCACCATCCCCCAAGTGCACCACCAAGCTTTCTTTTATGCATTGCAAGTTGGGTCAGGTTGACCCTCTATTGGATCTGTTCGATCCCTTCACCAAAGGCTTTGTCTCCGGCAACAACAGTCTCCAAATCTTTAGCGACCAGCTGCGCCAGAACAGCACCTCCAGGGACCTTGTCGCGCAGCTCCCTAACCCTCTCGCATTTCAAGCATCGGTGTGCCTTTGCTGGCGGGGACTTGGAGAGAGAAACTTTTACTGACCTCTGGGCGAAGTGCCACCCACAAGCCGTGGCCCATTCGTTGAGGTCCACTTGCCACGAGGCCTTCAGCACGAAGTGGGTGACCTTCTTCTTCGTCCTGGTCCATGAGGTCGCCCACAAAGCCAGATCCTCAGGATCACTTGGCACCACCACCGGCATCGGAGTACCCGGCGCTGGCCCCACCCCCGGCATCGGAGTTCCTGGCGCTGGTGTCCTCGGGGCGGGCGTCTGTGGCGCCTTTTCCTCCGTCTCGACCAACTTCTCGGTCCATCTTTCTAGGGACTGTGCATGGTTGACCACTGAAGCCTTGACCTCTTCCTCCGGCATCTCCATGATCCTCGAATTCATCGGCCTCTCTTGCATGGCCTCCTCCATGTACCTGAACACCGCAGAACTTCTCCATCTCCCCAAGAAGGAGATGTCTTGAATGTCCATGCCCTTCCGGGTGTAGAACATGGCCCCCGATCTCCTCGCCGAGTGACCCGTCAGGTCCTTGTGAAGAGCTCTGGCCCAGCATTTGGCTGTGTGGGCTCGCCCTCGTTTTGCCCCTGACGTAGTGCCGAACAGGTAGTCGCCGGGTTTCCCGTTTGGGCGGTCCGCCAGCACTCTGACTGCTAGGGCCCAAGGACATTCCCTGGTGCAGCTTTGTCTCTTGCAGCAAGAGAGGGTCCTCAAGACTCCCTTCGCCGCCTGGTCCGTCTTCGACTTCCGGATTTTCAGGCCCACCTTCTTGTCGTCGAAGGACACGTCTAGGTCACCCATTCTCAGTTCCGTGACCTCGCATGCTCTGAGCATCCAAGCAACAGCAATGCCGTACATCCATGCCGGTCTGACGTAGGCGCCCTTGCTGGTGCACTTCTCCTCCCACGTGTTGGCGTCCAGGTCGGAGATTTGAAGTTCTTTTGCACGGACTTCCGGCCCCCGGTGCCTCTTCAGCGCCTTCTTGCACAGGAACAACTGCCTCTCTAGCGGCGCGCTCCAGTCGTGGCCTGCTTCGATGTGCATCAGCTTGAGTTCATGGATATATTGATCTCCTGATTGAAGTTTTGCCTCATCCAGAGCCGTCGCCACCGCCAGAATAGACTCCTGATGAAGCGGGAAGTGTTCTCCGTCGCATGCCGCATTCAAGAGGTCAGTTATTTTCCTCCTCTTGGCGTTCTTGGCTAAAAGTGTCCCTGCCGCCAGGAACTTTCTGCGGAAGCACTCCTTGGCCTTCTTCAAGTCGTTAGGTGCCCTGGCGAGCTTTAGCGCCTGCTTCATGCCCTGCCTGGACTTGTCATTCCTATTGGGCTTCCCTTGGCCACTTCCGTCATCAACCCCAGTACTGACTGGTTCTGGGGGAGGCTCGATGGCGTCCTTCTTGGCGGCTGGCCGTTGCCTCGAGGGGGGCGCTGCCACTCCTCCATCTCCTTTTTGGGCAACACCGAGGATGGTGGTGACTTGGGATCTTTCCTTGACCTTGTCACCGGTGAGCTGACTGAAGGCCTCCTTTGCTCTTCTTTGTCGTGCCAACTCGTTGTTGACCGAGACAAAATGCCCCGTTCTGAGTAGGCTATTGGCATAGACGCTCTGGCTCTGTGCGTTGTTTGGCATGCCCCCGGGGAACTGTTCCTCGACCTGCAAAGCCATGCTCTCCAACGTTGACACCCCCGTGAAATCTTGCCGCCCCATTCCATGCTCATGTGGTACAGCCGCGGCACACATAGCTTGTAAGATAGACACCCTGCCAGGCACGACATTATGCATGTGATGATCCACAACATCACCCAGGGGAACTGTGTCTCCACCGTCCGTGCCTGCACTGCGCTTACGTCCCATTGGGGCTTGATCACAATGGACATTCGGGCCGACGGACAGACCACCGTCCGACTTTCAACCTGTTTGGGCCCGTCTGCAAGTGATTTCGTGGTCCATGTGCGTTGCCACACACGGGAAATCAACATTTTCAAGCTATGAAACTTATTCACCAATTCAGTGATACCTAGACCTGCCTCAATAAAGTGAAGAAAAGACCTTCCCCACCGCCCGACAACTCCCTGTTTTGCGGAAAATGACCACCCGTATCACAGATTGTGAAACACCGACACATTGTGTGGCGGCAAACCGTCCCACGGCTGGAGTTTGGAGCCGGGTGGTGGTAGTGCAAAATCTTCAGAAGTCACTGCCGCCAGCTGCTTGATCTTGATTTTCCGTAGGCTGGCCGGCGGTTCTGTGGCTCGGTCATGGGGTCTGGAGAGCCAGTCCGGCTCCAGGTTCATGACGCCTGGGATGTGTTGGGGCACCAGGCGCACTATGTTGTGCTGCTCCAAGATGATGGCCAGCTCGCCGTTGAGGTGGTTGATCGCAGGTGAGGGGCTCGCTAGCCGTCGTGCCATGGCCAACGCCACCACGCTGTCACTGCGCACGAACACCGCCCTTCCTTGGAGCCTGGTGCGCCATAGCTTGATGGCCCTGTAGATGGCCAGGGCTTCCAGGACTCCCTGGCTGGACGACTCCCCGTGGTCCACCCCTAGGAGCTCTGCCTCCGCCTTGGTGAACTTTGCCTCGAAAGCTTCCACCATGTAGATGGACTGCCCTTGGAGGTCCACCGACACCAAGACCGCGCCCAATCCCAGCGGGGACGCGTCAGATAGGATGCCCATGGTCACCGGCTTCTCCTGAAGTTCTTCTCTCCTGAGGGCAAAGCGGTCCACTCTCGACAGAATCGCTATCAGCCACCTCAGAGTCGCCCCAAACCTCTTCACTGCCACCAGGCCATATTTTGGCCTCTGATCAGAACGGCCCTGCGCCCGCTCCTCTTCCAGTCCTGACTTTTCGTCCTCCTCCGCATCTCGAAGGACAGCAAACAGGACTGACACCGACCATCGTAGCCTTGGCAAAATGCCTGCCACCCAGCTCAGACGTCCTGTGGTGCTTCTCAGCTCGCGGTGCGACACCATGCCCTTGTTCACCCATGATCTCAAGGTGTCCAAGATCTCCTCCACCATCTTCTTTGGGGCCGCATACGTGATTGAGCCTTCCAGCGGTTTTGCAGGCCACCGGAGAAGCATCTTGACGCCGATCCACTGGGCCTGTTGCCCCCTCTCTCCCTTACCAAGGGCTATCTGTACCCCGAACGCCTTCATGGTGTAGAGGCCCAAGGATATGAGGTTCGCCTTCTCGTCCTCTGTGCCGTTGATCAGGGTCAAGACGTCATCCACATAGATCTGTAGTTGGCCCTCCGTGGGTGACATCAACGCTTGCCACAAGCGGCCCACCGCGGCGCTCAACCTTCCCATCAGCAATGGGGCTGACTTGAATCCAAAGAGCAGGGCCCTGAACAGGATGGCCTGATTCTCCTTGTTGCCAGGGGCCAGACAGTTGGCCAGCTCTTCCCTGCAGACCGGGAAGTGACAGAACGCGTCCTGCAAGTCATACATGACGAACTCTGCAGAGCGTCCCTCATTGTCCTCCTCGTTCTTCGTCGCCATGTCTCTTGCCATTCTTGTGACATCCACAATTCTCGGCAGCACTATCCTTTCAGGGGTGGTGGTGCGCTGGTTTCCCCCTGAAAGAAGATTTTTTTGTATAGGGGGCTTCTGTTAATGCAAAGGTTCCAAAAAAAATGGGATTTCAATTTGGGGATATTTGACTTAGTGGTATGCTATGGTTTTGTTCTATTTGTTTCTTTATCTTTGGTTTACTTGTTTTCAGCATTATTTTGCCCTATCTGTATCTCCTCTTTATTTCTTGGTTTCGAATCTGTTGTATTTTTCATTTCTTCTCTTACCTCATTCTGTTTCATTCTGATTTTTTCTAGGGTTGAGTGTATATTATGTGTATATATATAATATTAATTATATATATATACATAAAAACACACTATATATGTTGTTTGTATTCTGGATTGTTTTCTCTCATCCTTAGGCTTACTGCTATGATAAATTATGTTCTTTGCTCCTGTGTTCTTTGCTATATTTTGTGTTGCTTTCTGGTATTTTTATGTGCAATGTTTTTTTTTTATTTGTGCATATTTCTCTTATTTTGTTGTTTGGATTTGCATAACTACTAGTCGTTGGGTATCTTCATTTTTCCATGGTTGTAGTTGCTTTTTCTTTTGCACGTTCTAGGTTTGCGTGGCTTGGTTTGTTGTTTTGTTCGTTGATTTCTGGTGGTGTCTCTGTTTTTTAATGTCAAATTTCAATGCAATGCTGTTAAAATGTCGAGACTGTATGTATGTCTATCTGTCTGTCTATCTATCTATCTATCTACCTATCTATCTATCTATCTATCTGTCTACCTATTTATCTATCTACCTATCTATGCATGTAGGTATGTATGTATGTATGTATGTAGGTATGTAGGTATGTAGGTATGTATGTATGTATGTATGTATGTAGGTATGTATGTATGTAGGTATGTATGTATGCATAATGTAATGTAATGTCATGTCATGTCATGTCATGCCATGTATGTAATGTATTATGTTTGCATGTATGCATGTATGCATGTATGCATGCATCATGTATCTGTATCTATGATGATGCTGGGGCACATGAGACTGCCATGGGTGTAGGGGAGATGGCAGCCGGAGCCAGCAGGGCGCAAGAGAGCCAAGTGAGGAGAAAGATCCTGGGTGGGTGGCGTAGGGAAGGGCAAAGCATTTGGGTGGAGCTGTAAGAATGTTCAAGAGTAAGAATGTTCAAGATGTGGTGGGCCCAGACAAGTGCCTGTTTGTTTGCCCTAAACCTTGTTTTCTTTTTTGTAGGGGGTACCCATTGCAGCTATGGCAGGGCCAGGGCTGGGGGGAGGGAGGGCGATTCTCTTGGAGAATGGTGAGTGGGGGCTGTATGTAGGGAGATGGGCACAGTTGCATTGGGCTGGGGTCGCCGGGCCTGTTCACGCAGCAGCTGCTCAAAGCAAGCAGGCAAGCAAGGAGTCAAGAGTGGAGATGTGGAGATGTGGCATTTCCAATTGGGGGGTCGGTTCTGTTTCCACCCTGCACAGCAAAGAGGCTAAAGATAGCAAAGTCTTGTTTTATTTTTGGTTTTTGGACTGGGTTCACCTGGGTTTTTCCAGGGAAAAGTGGTTTTAGGCACACCGGTTCTGTTTCCACCCTTATTTCAGAACCGCATTTCGGAACCGGTCTTGGCCCCATTTTTGCAGGGGTTTCGGGTAAAAGTCTTGTTTCGCGCGGTGAGGCACCACCAAAAGTCTGGTTTCTGGTTTTCTGGTTTTTGGGGCGTTCTTTAGCTAATCACTAACTTATTTCTTACATTGGGTAGCGTTGAAAGCCTAGCTCGATATTTAATTCAAGCCATGGCAAAGCCACCGAAACGTAGAAGCAAAAGCGGTCCACAAAGGGGTCCAGCGAGGCGAAAGGGACGATCAATTGGCATATTTTGCGCCAATGCAAAGTGTCGCAACAAAACAACTGATTGCAAGAATAAACCATTTGCTCTCAGCCGTGCTGAAGTGGATGAATCCTGCTGTAGGTCCTTGAGGCCCCAAGCACGATTGGTGAAATTTTGCAGCCAACAACATTTGGAACTCTGCAGGAAAAAAGTTGTAAACAAACGAGGAGGTAGAGAAGCGCTCAGTACAGAACAAGTCTCACTATTTTTTGCAACTGTTGTGCATGAGTGCCATGCACCATGGGCAGGCGCACTCCTACTTGTACAACTCTGTTCAGGTGATCGGGCAGATGCAGCAAGGCAAGCTAGCACAAACTGGTTTAAGAACATAGATCCTCATGGCAAAGGTTTGCCTGAGGCAAACATTCCACAAGTGAATGGTAAGACTCACCCACGGTGTGTCCCACTACCGCTAAGTTTTGCTAGGCTTCTTTGGTCATGGATTACCCAAAAACCGCTTCAATCCGAAAGAGCACAATGGCCTTTGGATGCTCAAGATTTACATGGTGCTGTGTTGAGAAACGAAGATAGGTATCTTTTCTGCGCTCGGACTGGATCTGGGCAGAACAAGCCAGTTATAGACAAACCAATATCCGAACGTTCTTTCCTGAAACAAATCAGGAAAACATGTGACATCCTTTGCAAGCAAAGGGTGGAGCACCATCGGGCAGAAAAAACCCACACCTTTGATGATGTCGATCTGTCAAAAGTAGGAACACATTCTTGGAAAAAGACAGCTGTTACCCTCATGAAGGATGGCCATGTAAGCACATCAATCATATCCACAGTGACAGGGACATCAGCCAGAACTTTAGATGATGTGTATGATGTGCCGACACAGAAGCGCCAGCGACAAGTTGTTGATGCCATTTTGTACCCAGTCATGGCGCGGGTGACGGAACCTGCTGGTGAGACAAGCGGCTCTGCAGAACCAAGTAGGCACACTGCCAAAGAAAGTCAGAATCCATGTTATGTTTGTTCCAAACTTGTTGACATCAATTGGCAGTATTGTGCCTTCTGCGGCTCACGTTTGCACCATTCAGCATGAGAAATTTGAAGCAATTCATTATCCGAATCAAAAAATGGGAATATCTATATCTATATCTATATCTATCTATCTATCTATCTATCTATCTATCTCTCTCTCTCTCTCTATCTCTTCATCTATGTATTTATCTATCTCTCTCTCTCTCTTCATCTATCTCTTCATCTATCTATCTATCTATCTGTCTATTTATCTATCTATCTATCTATCTATCTATCCATCTATCCATCCACCTATCTATCTATCTATCTATCTGTCTGTCTGTCTGTCTGTCTGTCTGTCTGTCTATTTGTCTATCTATCTATCGATCGATCGATCTATCTATCTCTCTCTCTCTCTATCTCTTCATCTATCTATCCATCTATCTATAGGTAATGCTCCAAATCAGATGCTGTCAATAGGAATTTGCTGAACATTCCACTTGCAACGTCGCGAGGCTACCATGGTTGCTGCCATCATCAATTCAAGGGGCTTGTTGTTCTTTCCCAAAACATCTATTCGCAAATCATTGGCTGCAACGGTGACTGGAAATAGATTGCGACCATTCGTATTTTTCGAGGTTTACAAAACCCATGTCTTGATTGGTTCGTCGAAATACGTGTTGGGGAAATCCCAATCCTGAAGCCCAGAAAAAAACTCACAGGAAAGTGCAGCAGCCATGGTCATATGAACCCGCTTGCTGCGTCAGTCAACGTACCTGGCGTCTACAGTAGTGATGAAACCGTTCTTCATCATGCCCCCTGAAGATCAGAGTAAGGAACCCGTCTAAATAACCACCAAACTGGGGCAGTCTCAGTCTACACAATAATGACCAATTCCCCAAACGCATTGTTGGGCCAGCAATACTTATGGTTAGTTATATTTTTTCACTATTAGCATGGGTTCCATTAGTTGGGAAGTAACATCCAGATAAAGGACAATTTCTGAATCCATTGGGGGTTAGTAGACCTGGCGATCAACCCAAACAATGCCTTGCACTCAGTGGTTGGAGTTGTTGCATCCAGTAATTTGATGGGAAGTACAGCAGCATTCTGAAATTGCCATTACGTTTCAACTGGCACATTTATGGAAAGCTTTCTGCAACCTTTTTTGGTCCCATAGCCAAAAATTAGATTGACCGTGGATACATTAGAGCAAACCATATGTTTGACAGTTGGAGGGCCCCTCCCCATCAACAGATATAACAAAGGTTGACTTCATCAATCCCTGTCTAGATCACCTGCCCACCTAGCTCATCCACTCATTGCCAACTGAGCTGTTCGTGGAGGGTTGTTGCACGGCCTCGGCAGCAGGACGCCGTGGCTCATTGAGGCAGCGGGTTTCATTCCAACAACTAAAGATATTGAGATAATTGCCAAGGACTTGCCAAACGGTTAAAAACCTATAAGCACCCCACTTATTACACTTGGGTTTCATGTGTTTTGACTAGTGGAATCCAAATTATATCTTTTGGGAGGATACTGGTACAATCAGAATGACATAGATCCAGTTTTGGACAAACAATCTTTGTCAAGATCTATTTCACCTTCAGCAAGGGTGTGAAAGCAGCATTTTTCCCTCCCCTGGTCATGGTCCGCCTGAGCGGTCTTTCAGAGGCTCGAATCCCGTGGAACTGGAACATGGGGGACCAGGATCAACAGCACAATTGTTTTTTTGTATCCAAATGGCTTGAATAGGCCCCCAGTCCCCCATGTTGCGGAGCGGCCTTTGGCTCAATGTCAGAGCCTTCGTTGCCACGATACCCAAAGTACACTCATTTTTTCAAAATATGAATGTAATCCCATTTCCATTTTCTACTGTTTGAGTCGGAAAATCTCTAAAACAACTCACAGCACCGAGCTGGGGGCAAGTTCACTTCTCGGATGAGCACCACTTGGGGCCGAATGGGCATCAATCCAGAAACACCCCATTTCACTGAGAATACAATCTTAGTGGCATGACTGTTCCACACCGTGTTTGGGATCAACTTGGCTGCATTCTGCTGCCCAGCGGTTCCATTGCTAGACCCATTGCCTTCGTCGTCACCACCTTCTTCTTGGGCAACCCCAACACCACCACTCACGGGTACCCACCACACATCATGGGATCTCTTCAAATTGAAATTTCCCGGGCGCTTTTGATCTGGGTCCTCAGCCATGACATGGTATGCAACTTTGACTTTGGGGACCTTCTGCATCTGGGCTTGAACAACCTCGAACACGGTCTTCAGGTGCCCGTTGAAGAGTACCTGGCGAGGCGAGACAGCTTGATGGGGGTATGCAGCAGCAAACATGAATGGGGCATTGTGGTCTTCGGATTTATAGATACCTGATATAGATAAAGTTTAGGCGAAAAAGGCAGATTCCAAGCCCAGTTGGAATAAAACAATGAAATAGTATAAAACAATAACCCACAAACAGACAAACCAACACATGATAAATAAGAAATAAATAAACACATAGATAAATGAATAACAGAAAGAATAGGGTCCCATATATCGACAATAGAATATTCTTTCCATACATGTGCTGGGGGTTGAAGTCTACAAGCCGAGACCAAATAATACGTTCCCTCATATCCACAATGAAATAATATTCGTCCCATAAATTTGCTGGGGTTGAAGTCTACAACCCGAAACCAAACAATAGGGTCCCATATATCAACAATAGAATATTCTTCCCATACAATTGCTGGGGGTTGAAGTCTACAACCCCAAACCAAATAATAGGGTCCGATATATCGACAATAGAATATTCTTCCCATACTTTTGCTGGGGGTTGAAGTCTACAACCCCAAACCAAATAATAGGGTCCGATATATCGACAATAGAATATTCTTCCCATACTTTTGCTGGGGGTTGCAGTCTACAACCCCAAATCGAATAATAGGGTCCCATATATCGACAATAGAATATTTGCTGGGGGTTGAAGTCTGCAACCCTAAATCAAATAATAGGGTCCCATATATCGACAATAGAATATTCTTCTTATACATTTGCTGGGGGTTGAAGTCTACAACCCCAAACCATACATGATGAATCCCGAACATCCCAGCTACGAAATCATCAGGGCCGGTCAAGTTGAAGAGCACTTCTGTCCGGGGATTGGCCTCCTGTGATTGCGCATCAGCGAGCCTCCATTTGCCCTTTCCATATCCGCAAAGGATCAGTCCTGCCTTGAGTGAGGCTTCCTGATTTCCGGTGTTGAACAAATAGGGACGATTCTGGGGCTTCAGATGAAGTTGGACACCTTCGATTTTGGCATTGATCAAAGGCATTTCCAACAGTGCACCACCTGCACCTACTGACTCGATGGTTTTGATCTTGTTGGTATCTACCTTGAGTTTCTTCGTAGCATCATTTCCATTCTGAGCATTTTTACGTTTGCGCACAGTTCGGTTTTCACCATCCTTGTTGTTCTGCCCGTCTTTCTCCTTGTCCTTTCCATTCTCCTTGTCCTCCTTCCCAGTCTCCTTGTCAGAATCTTGGGGGATGGGTCCGAACTCCTCCACCAGCTGGTCCAAGAAACTCTTGAACTCGTCCCCGAACTGCTCGTGTGAGCCATACTCCTGGAAAAGGGATACCACGAATATATGTTTCTACGGGCAGGTGTCAGGATACATATCATATAGAGTCTTATGTGTTGTACAGTGACATTTTTCATTGATTGATATATGCAATTTGTTATTGTACCATATTATACCTATTTGAGCCTATACTGGTCTTTTATTCAACCCTGCTCACGCCTGCAGCAGGTTCTGTGGAATCATTGGGTAGAAGTCCGATCGTGGAATCATCAAATTGAGGCGCGGAGGCTCTGGTTCCTTCTCCAGAATGTCAGAGGGACATTCCAGCACTGGCTTTGGGAATCCAGGAATGGTTATGTTTCCCTCCATGTGAAGGCGTCCAAGCAATTCCTGGGCAATGTCTTTTCAGGGGCAAACATCGTTGCCGGAGTCGTGTGTATATACGCATAACATGTGTTATTTTTTATCAGAAACCATTTTGACATAATAACGATTGATGGAAAAGAACAATATATATATATATATGCTACATATATAAGCCTAATAAAACAAGATTTCATGCCATGATGTCTTTTTATTCTCATCAATCCACGATCTCCTTAGAGGTCGTTGGCCTGTTTCGACGATGATCACCAAAAATCTAAGTGGATGATATCCAGAGAAAAATAACCAAGTGGGCCAAGTAATGTGCATTCATAATATTTTATCTGAAGCTGCATTTAAGACATCCAAATCCAAACAATATGCTTTCAATTCCTCCCCAAAAGCAATATAGTGAAGAGATTAAATTGGGTGGACTATGATTTTCTTTGGGCCAAATGGGCACTGGGTAGTATTCAGGAAAACCGCAAATTCGCAATGAAGCATCATATGGATCTGAACATTTTCCCATTTCACAGCAACATAGCTAAGGTTCAAAGAGAATGGATCCCTGGGGCCTAGTGGGTTGGGTCATACTCATCGAGATTTGGAAGAACTGGCCATGGAGCATTTTGAACAATATGGTTCTCTACGTAAAGGATAAGAGGGAAACTCAAGGGGAAAAACTTCTTTGGGGTTATTGTATGCCACAGTTATCAATGTTAAGGTTTGAGGGCCCCCACCATGTAATGGATCTCAAACAAGTGACCGGTTTCTGCATGCCAAACCACTCCGCGGTCTGAAAGTCATCAGTGCACCCAATGTAGAAGACGGGCATGTTCCATGTAGACTTCAGATTCGCAAAAGCATCGAACATGTTTCCTACTGACATGTTCAAGTCAACGATGAACACCCCTGATCTCCCAGTCATCTGCAAATCAGTCATCATTCCCAACAAGAGTTTCTCACATGCGTTCTGGCCAATTTGCTCCACTTTTCGGGCACCACCAAACAGGTGCTCTTCGCCTTCAGGAGCACTGATTGCAACACCGCGGGATTGGTCTTCAAGGGGGGTTTCAATCATTACCATATCCTTGGTGTGGAGTTGGGTGGCAAGTTCAGTGCGACCCTCACGCCACAGAGGGGCGTTTTTCCAAGTGAACTCCTTGTTGGATTTGGTACTCAGCCCTTCCATGAAACGGCCACGGTAGTTCAGTGGTCGCATGTTGTCACGTTGGTCCACCTGACAGAGAAGCCACGGGTAAGGTTGTTTGGATGGTTCAGCTGATACCAGGTGTCCATATGCATTCTTGGGACTTTATGTGTATGGCAAAGGTAGGTTCTGTTATATAATAGATGTAAAAATACACACACACATAGATAGATAGATAGATAGATAGATAGATAGATAGATAGATAGATAGATAGATAGATAGATAGATAGATAGATAGATAGATAGATAGATAGATAGATAGATAGATAGATAGATAGATAGATAGATAGATAAGATAAGATAAGATAGATAGATAGATAGATAGATAGATAGATAGATAGCTAGCTCGCTAGCTCGCATAGCTCGCTAGCTCGCTCGCTTCGCTCGCTGCTCGCTCGCTCGCTCGAAGATAGATAGATTCAGATAGATAGATCGCTAGCTAGCTCGATCGCTCGTCGATAGATAGATATAATAGATGTAAAAATACACACACACATATATATATATACATAGATAGATAGATAGATAGATAGATAGATAGATAGATAGATAGATGAATTGCTAGATGGATAGATGGATGGATAGATAGATAGATAGATAAATAGATAGTTAGTTACTTCTGCCCATACACAGGGTGTAACATACTGTTTCTACAGACTTGAAACTGATGATTAACCATTCAATCATCTTTCGCAACTGTTTCCTAAGAGATTCAATCAATGCTGACTGGCCTTCTCTTTGAACTGAAGAGAGAAACTCTTATCCAGCGAGATTCCATGGTGAGCCAACTGTTTCATGGTGCTGCCCTCCAACATCCACAACTCCCCTTTCTTGTAAGTGAACTCTGGCTCCAGGAGCAAACCAACACTGCGGGCTGATTGGGACAAGATGAACGAGGCGCCAGATGATTGGGCGGCCCGTGCGTTGGCCTTCAGTGTCGAAGGAGCACTCCAATTGAGGAAAACCAGGCATGCCTGAGATTCAAGAGCACGACAAAGACTCGGAAAAAACAGGTAAAACATATTTGGTTTGTATCTATTCATTTTTACTTGATGTGTTGAAGTCAGGGGACATTGCCAGACTCATCGAGTTTCAAGCGCTCGGTTTTGTCACTCATGAAGCTCTGAATTGACCGGAGCAAGTCATCACTTTGGGTGTAGGTGATCACCTTGCAATTGTCGTTGATGAAAACCCTAGCCGCCTTTAATGACTCCTCATACACTTTGACTCGGTATTGGAGCTTCGTGTGATGCACCTGGAGTTCATAGGAAGACATCTTGGCCTTGGCCACTCGGCATGCCTGCACATCGTACTGAAGTTGTTTCATGCGTAGTGAGAACGTTTCTTCTTCCAACTTCGACATCATGCACTGCCACACTCGGAAGTGGTGCACTTTGATTGTGCGTGTTCATCACTGCAGCAATTGAGGGGATATCCCGCACATTGGTACAGTCCCGGTTCATGATGGCTGATTGCACTTCGAGAAGCACACTGGGATCCCCATGCCTAAACATGCCAACCCACTTCTCCTCCAGCAAGTCAGGGGAAACCGGCATCAATGCCAGGACCTCTTCCCTCACAGACATCACGAAGGCTGCCTCCTCAGCCGAGGCCTCCATTTGTGCTTTGTCGATCTTTCTGCGCATAGATGGTAGGATTTTGCGATGGCAATGCACTTGGTGTTGGACCTCATGTTCAGAAAAGAAAACAGACATCTTCATGGAGTCTGTGTTCGCCTATTTTTCATTCTATGGAACGCTCGCATGACAGGAAAATAAACGTTCTTTGTGCAATTTTAGTTTGATCATTCTCATGTGCTCTATAAAAGCAATGGTTTTTCGTATCTAACGGATGTGTTAATATGATGTACTGCTGCTACTTCACCACAGGTATCTCCCTATAGAACAAAGATATATAAGTAGATCACATAGATATAGGTGAGATAGTTGATAGGAGGGAAAGATGGCTGAGAGATACCGGGTATGTGGTGTCCAAAATTGACGCTTTGAGCTTGCATTTCAGGCCTATTTCGGACACCAGTTTGTGCCTCTATTTTGGGCCTATTCTTAACGCTGCCACAAGGACTTGGGGCATCCACAGGCACCCCAGTTTTGAAACATACAAAAACCAAATAGATTCCTATATGGATCGTGTTTTTTTGGTTTCAAGCAGAAAACTTTAAGGGGTAAAATAACACCCCATTTTGAGACATTCCCCAATGATAGATACATAGGTAAATAGACAGACAGACAGACAGATAGATAGATAGATAGATAGATGTATAGACAGACAGATAGATAGATAGATAGATAGGTAGATAGATGGATAGATGGATAGATGGATCGTTCCAAAGATAAACAGACAGATGTAGATAGATAAATAGGTAGATAGGTAGATAGATGCACAGATAGGTAGAGAGATAGTTAGATAGACAGGTAGATAGATATAAATAGAAGCAGATACATATAGATAGGTATAGATAGATGGTAGACAGATATTGAAAGTTACAGATATGTAGGTAGATAGACAAATAGATACTTGGATAGGAAGACAGGTAACCAAGAGATACATCAACAGATAGATAGATAGGTAGGTAGATGGATAGAAATATAGATAGGCAGATAGATAGATAGATAGATAGATAGACAGATAGATAGATAGATAGGTAGGTAGGTAGGCAGGTAGATAGATAGATAGATAGATATGATAAGAAAGATAAGGTAATATATATATATATATGTAGGTAGATGGATAGAAATATAGATATGCAGATAGACAGGTAGATAGGTAGATAGATAGATTGATATGATATGATATGATGTGATTATGTGATATGATAAGATAAGATAAAATAAGATAATATAAGATACGATAGATATATGTAGATAGATGTAGATAGATGTAGATACATGTAGATAGATGTAGATACATGTAGATAGATATAGATACATGACCAAGAAATATCCACAGTTAGATACATCAATGAAACAAGTAGATAGTTTGATCGATAGATACCTTGAACGATAAACTGATATCTAGATACACGTGTAATCCTTTTCCTACTTCGAACAAATCACACCGTCCAATCCCCGAATTGTGCTGAGGAGATGCCATCAGCCGATTGCTCTCCTTGGTGACCTTGCCACGAGCTTGCCATACAGGACCCGCATTGCACTTGAACCTGGGCATGTTTGAAGGTTTGGCATGGAACATGGCATGGAACATGGTACTGGATCTATGCATTTCGAGGTGGGCTTCAGGCAAAACAGGATTGGAAAAAATGGTGGGTGGATTGCTCACCGGTATCCAAAATTAACAGCTTGGTTTCTATGTATTCGACCAAATAACTGAAACCCTGGCAAAATCTTCTTTGATGAGAGGTTGTCATCGGTCCAGCCAGTGTTTTCGTGCCCGATCTCAATGGTGTAGGCAATGAGTGCCTCGCGTGCCTCCTTGTCGAAATGTTGCATGATGTTTCGGACGGACTGTGCCTTCTGCGACAGGAGTTGGCCACTCTTCGAGTTCCTGCTGTTGTGATCGTTCACCTCAGGTCGGACTCAACAGGGTCAGCCAGGGCTGGGGCAGTCTGAGCAGATCCCCTGACTTAAGTGGGAATATTCAACCAGCTGATGAACTCAGGGGCCCACCAATGCTGCCACATCTAAGTTCGGCTCGTGCACCATGAGCTTGTTGATGGTGGTGACCCATGTTCTTAGTCATTTGTGAGCTCATGTTGACTTACCATCTTTGATTTTCGTCAGTGGCAGCTGGATAAGATCATTGATTTGAGAATGAAAACTTCGCAATAGGTAAGCTCGCTTTAGAATCAACATGCACATTGCGCGTGTCAATCCTATGAGTCTGTTTCCTCACAATAAGCTCCTGGCATGACGTTTGGAGCGCGGCGGATTGAACCCCGAGTAGAAAGCTTGAAATTCCCAAGCATTTCCTCCTTCTTCGACGCCACCAGCATTCGCTTTGCATGAATGCAGCGGACAGTGCTGAGAAGATCAGGGTGTACCTAGTCATGATGTGGCTGAATCTGATGTTGGGTTTTGTTTCAAACTATCTTATCAAGTGGCCTGTCAGCTACGAGTCATTCTTTCCTGCTTCAGAAGGCAAACAAAACACGAAACAAGTATCGAAAATGATACATAATAGCTCAAACCATGCGAAATATCACACACATTAACAGATGTAGCAGGCAAAGCTTTGCATTCCTTTTACTTTGTTGGGCCCCAAATATATGATGATACGATATTAAAATAATTGTCCCATGGTCTGGTTTAAGCATAGTCTCAGTGTCTGATTTTAAACAACGGGCCGTGATGGATCAATTAGTTGTTTGTAAACAACCATGGCCTCAGCATAGTTGTCACAGCCAATGTCCCGTGCGAGGGCCAGCATAGCCATCAAGACAGTAACTCTCGTCTTGGCCTTGAAGTACCCCAGGCTGAAAGGCATCATCGTGTCCAGACTCTGCCTCCAAGGCGCAGCCACCGCCTGATGTCCGGAAAGTGGCTCAGAACGTTTGTGCCGGTTCATTGGTTTCATATTTCAAAAGTTAAAAGCTTTTATCAACTATGGGATTCCTACAGTAAGAGACTTTGGCTTCTGCATGACCTTTAAGCTGTCACGCTTCGGGACCTAGTTGTACTGGGATACTTTGGGTGAAATAATGTTCATTCTACTCTGTTCTTGTTTGAAGTGCAACGAACCAATACTTGTGCTCAAAACAAGAACTGACTGCCAATCTCTCATATGAACAAATTTTCATACCAGCTGCCTGGTAGGGTCCATTGCTTAGACCAATACTCTGGAGCAGCATCAACGGTTCACCAGAAGTGATGAAGCCATCAGTCAAAATCTCTTCCATCATCAAATTGACCACGTCATTCTCTGCCGGGCCCTTCACTGAAGACTCTGGCACGTACGAGAAGCATGCTGGGTGCACGATGAAGGTTTTGGTCTGCAGTGCAGGGAGGACTCATTGTAATATGGGATACTGCTGGGACAAGAAATTGACATAAATTACGAAGATATGCACTTGGAAACCACCAATCGATATTCGCATGGATTTCTTAATTTTAACGATTAGCCCATTATGAAGTCGATTTTTCGCATGGGCAGGCCAGTGCAACCTACTTTGCCGCCAGCAACTCTTCACCTTGACAAGAGGCGTGTTTTGATTTTTCTGATTCCTCAAAACATATTTAAAGATGTAGGTACTGTATCATATTTGCTAAATACTACATGACCTTGCTAAAAACAACAATGTAGGTGAATGAAACCTAGGATAGCTGCCTTCTGCACAGCGTCGACCTTGGTACCAGGTAAGTCAGCAGAGAAGTTGAACTCTGCCGCATCCAAAGGCACAAGGTTGATGAGGTAATTCATCCATTCCTGCAAATGCTCTTGGCTCTGGAAACGCACACGAAGGTAGTTCTCAGGACCCCCATGTTCCTGGCAAACCTTCGCCATGCCTTCACGGATTGCCTTGGCATAGGCCTCTTTGTGGACATCCCCGGACACTGGAAGAAGATTCCAGGCATCCATGACACTGTCGGCACTGGTTTCTGGCACGGTAGACGCACGGTCGAACTCGTCAGCCATGAGTTCAAATCAACCCTGATTGTTAGACGGAGCTTGAGAAGATCCAAAAGTTGCTCACAAGGAAACCATAATGTTTGTTGGCACTGATCGAAAAAGAAATGGTTTCAACACAAAACCGTTATAAATTTTGTTTCCCGGAACCTTTGTAAAAACAAAAAACAAAATTTCACCACAAACTCTAGATCACCTTGCTGAATCAAAAGTTATGGTGAAAAAAAAAATCGCTATAAAATTTGGTCACCCCAATGATATCATTGGATCTATACTATGCACTTCTGGTACTCCAAGTTAGGATGATATCATTGGGGTGACCAAATTTTATAGCGAAAAATTTTTTTCACCATAACTTTTGATTCAGCAAGGTGACCTAGAGTTTGTGGTGAAATTTTGTTTTTTTGTTTTTACAAAGGTTCCGGGAAACAAAATTTATAACGGTTTTGCTCGGGCAACTGTGTTATCAAGATATCATGAAACAATGATTTTTTTTTGTATCGGTTCCACTCCAAATCGAAGAGTTCGCAAAAGTTAGGACGATTTCAAAAGCAGATATCATGTCGAAAACTGAGACCATCTTTCGAAAACAGTTCTCTGTGACCATTCTGACTGATTGCAGGCTGTGCTTTCTGACGAAATCAAAGACATCGGTGCCTGCAGGACTGACTCCGTTTTTTTCTCTACACCGAGTTCACACTGATCTCTAGTCAGAGCACAAGGGCCCCCAACCAAAATCACACTGCCCCCAAGCAGTGTTGACTTCTAAATAGTCATTTGTACTGCCTGCACCAAAACATTGCACATGGTTTCAGGGTAATGTTGTGCAAACGTTGACAAACGTTGCCCCTGATCTGACCCCTGAATTGTGCGATGGGGCACTGCGCAGGTGCATTGACGTTGGGAAAACAGACCATGAATTGAAACCATGTTTGACAAAAGACTTGTTCGTTTCTTCATTGGCTCATTGCTGGGTGACACCAAGCCAGTGGCGCACTGGTCAAAGTTGGTGCGTCGGAAGCCAGGAATGGCCATGACTCGCCTGGCTTTGTCCCGTTTCCACGAGGAGGCGGGAGTGGGATGTTCTAACACACATCCCCGGCCACGAGCATGCTGGTCCTCACACAGGTCGAGGGAGCAATCAAACATAGCCTCAGCATCAGCCATACGTGATTCGTACTCCTCAGGTGTCCACTTGTCAACGTTCCACATCCTACAGGGAAGCCGAATCAAACACTGCGGGAATATTATCATAGGGAGTGATCAAAACATCCAGGTATGATAGGGAACCATCATAAAGCCTCGAACACACCATTTGATTCAAACTTATTCTATGTGTTCCTGTGAAAACAACATACATGCCTTGTCAATGGCGAGAACATGGTACAAGGCGGAGATAAAATGAGCACTTTCGGGTCCATGGCACGAATGAGATGGAAAAGTTCGGTCCGCATCCGAGGGTTCAATGCGTCCCAGCCATTGTAGGTGATGTCGAACGCAAAGTCCGCTGTGAGCCCTGCCCTGCGTGCAGTCAAGGTCACTCTGGGAGGTGAAAAGACTTCACACAAGTCTTGGGCTCTCATGATGGTGCCACTGGTGATGTATTTCTGATATGTCAAAGAAGAGTCTCCAGCCACGTCAAGAGGGTCAGGATCTGAGGCAGGCTCCAGATCTGAGTCTGACAGTGACTCATCATCATGATAATAATCACTGCTAGGCAAGGCAGGTGGTCCCCCGGAAGACGCGATGGATTCCATCTCCATGTCCTCCAAGTTGTCATACAACATACTGTCCTGGCTGGTCGCCGGTGGGGGTTGCCGAAAGGGAGTTGATGCACTGGGCATTCACTGCCCCGGCCCATTGAGTACTGAAGATTCAACCTTCAAGTATCGTGCAAACAAAAGGGTATACCCAATTGCCAAAAAAGGGATTCAAAATTGCATCGAGTTTTTGCTCTACCCACTAGAGTCCTGGCTGCTGGCAGGTGGAGATTGGCAGCTGCTGCTGCACGGTGGCAGCTGCTGTCCGGTTTCCCAGCTTAGAACCGCAAATGTTACTGGCACAAGTCGACGTTGCTATTGAACTAGATACTATGTGTCAATGTATAATATTGTATAATCTACCACAAAGATAGGTCAGCAACTGCAACTGCACTAGATGCGATGTGCAATCATAGCTGTTGTTGCTGGTGTTGCAATGGATGGAGTCAGGTTTCCACACCGCAAGTTCCCAGAAATCTTTGAAAGCCTTTCTTCAAAGTGACACTCCCATGGCTCACTGGGTCAAAGATCTTAACGGGGTTGATTTGACAATGGTTGTGCACATGGAATCTCAAGCTACAAAAAAATATTCAATATCATTAAATAGTATGTTTCATTGACCCCCCCCGAGCCACACTTTGAGAAGACTAACATAAATACCATTCTGTCAATGGTACGGTTGGCGCTACATGACTCCCGGTTCCCTTTGGATCAGGAATCAACTTGCTGCCCCACCATGTTGCAAGTACTCATCGTATCGTGCACGGCATTGCGTGCATGATGTCCACCTGCACTTGGAGCACCCCAACTTTGTTTGAGGTTTGCGCTTGCGGCCTCGATGAGCAGCAGGCCTGGGAGGATCCTGATCCTGGGAGCTCACTGTGGGTCAAGTTTGATATCTCCTACATTTCCTTCAAGATCATATGATAAAAAGAATTGGCAACTAAAAACATATTTAATAAGTTCAAAAGGAGCATCATCTTCAGGAGCTTCTGGGCGGGCAGCTGCTTTGGCTTTCGCTTCCGCTTTAGACTTTGCTTTGCCATTAACCTTCGCCTTAGCCTTGCTTGCTGCCTTGCCTGCTGGTTTAGCCTTTGCCTTTGCTTTCTCCTTGGGTTTTGGTGCTGGGGCTGCTTTTGGTTTGGCCTTGTTAGCCTTTGGGACAGGTGGTGGTCCAAGTTCGACTGTGACGGCTTTTGGCGGGTCGGGTGCAAACTCCTGAAGAAGCTGATGCTCGGGGGTCAATGCAGACTTCAAGACGCTATGAGAAATCATGTCGAACTGAAACTTGGGAGGTTCCTTTTCTGAATTGTTTTGGTTGTCCGATGTCCATGTTCTCAGGTATTCAGCCGCCTTGTGCAAGTTCCAGGGTTCTTGCTCCACGAGTTTTGCAGTTTTCTCATACTCTTTTACAAGTTTCTCTGTCAGGGGGTTTCTTGGGAGAACCCCTGTGGGACCTGTCAGTGGCATATGGTCCAAAGTGCTGCGACTCAAAATGACAAGAGGTTGCTGGGAAAGATGGGTGTGGTTCATGAATTGTTTCACAAGTAGCACCACATCATCTTCAGAGGCATCCTGATCGGGTAGCTCTTGAACTTCCCAGTGTTCCTCAGGACGTCCAAATCAAGGGGGACTGCGTGGGGACCCATCATTTTTGCCCATGAGTGATAACAGCTCCCGAAACTTGAAGTTTGAGACAAAACCATCAAACATCTTTCAACAATCCATTTGCCGGGGATGCGCTATGGAAACATAATATTCTTATTAATGGCGTGATTAGTTGTCGCGTCGCTTTTTTTGATCGCGCTGCCATTGTCGAAACTCAGACCTGCAGATTGCATGCTGAGTACAAAAACTAACGTTAAGCGAGCTCAAAAAGACCAATCAGAATTGAGTTTGGGATGAAGCCTCACTCAGATATTGCAGACTGAGAAAATGTCAGTCATGGTCTCGCGCAAATCCTGGAGCCAAGTTTTCGCCTCAACATTGAGGCCCTCAGTCCCCAATCCGTCCTCGATGCTAGCTATTAAGGTGATGCCATCGTCCAGATCTGCTGTCAGCACATCAATGAATGGAAGGTGCTGAAGGCTTGATAGTGGACTTGTGCGACTAAGAGTGGCAGGATTGAGGCTCTGCCACGGTACATAAGTAAATTCCGCTTTGTTCTCAGTCGACATTACGGTCGTCACAATTTCCCACCACTTGATCAACTGGTTCGTCAAGGGTTTCATTCCCAGAGTATCACAAATGTTCCTACTTGCTTCTCTTGAGCGCTCGAAACGTTCCCTCATTTGTTGAGGATTGTTTGAACGGCTAATGACCAACCAGCATACTTTGCATAGGTGATCAAACAAGGGTCCCATAGCTGCAGGAGGAGGCATCTTGAGTTATGATGCCAGGCTAAAAACAGGTTTTGAGGGTCTCGTTGATTGAGCATAGACAGCTTCAGATATGTTTCAAAGTGTTGTCTTCCTATGTTACGACAGATTTGGCACGAGGGAGTTCCAAGAAACAAATGGGTAACATTTGAACTTTCTGACTCTTCAACTCGATTTTTTTTGCTGGACTTTGTCTTACCCCTGTGTTAAGTTCCAAAGAAGGAAACAAGAGCGCCAGTTAATTACTCTAGATAAACATTGACTTATGAAGAGGTAAATGTTACAAACCGCATGATAATGATTCCTTGGATGTCCCCGACCCAAAAAAACGCAAATGAGGATCATTCCCCTTGTAGAACTTCAGGTCTGACCGCTTCATGAACCGGAAACCATGGTTGACAGATTCCATCTGGTGCTGGATGGTCACCCCAGTCAGGTGCACGTTCGCAGGTTCAAGGAAGCTTTGCCAATCCCAAAAGTCTTCCACAATCTCACACCGCAACTCACGGCCTGCGACAGGTGCAACCTTGAGGATGGTGTCCCTGAACTCCTGCAGAACACGACAGGCTGCTTCAGAAATTCATGTTGGGGTCCTCAACCATAAGTGAAAGTAATAAAGGACTTGAACACAGGTTATGGACATGTTGCCATTAGGTTTTGAATCCGGAAAATTAGTCAATCAATTAGTCCTCTGGTGATTGCAAGGTAGTCTCCCGAGAGAGCGTTGAAGATAGGACCCAGAAACGTTGATCACATTCATTATGTGTATGGCCAACTTTGTAATAAAACTCATCCACTGTGCGCATGACCCCATGACTTATCAGCCAACTGGACCACAAAAAGGTCCAGGAATTGCGCATCTCCCTACATGTGTTGTCGGCTTGGAAAGCCACATGGTGAGGGAGCTCAAGCCCCTTCTTGGTCAGGATCTCCTTCGTGATCTGCAGTGTCCGACCTGAGCTGACCATGGAGCGGGTTGAAAGCACGAAGGCCCAAAACAGATGAATAGCTGGGGCTGGGAATGAACGTTTGCTTCGGAACACATAGTGGGACCATCGAGGAAAATATTCGAACGCTGAATCCATGAGCTTAGAGACATAGCAAAGATATGTTCTGGTTGCTGTCTTTGCGCAAGTCTGCATGACACAGGAAATATATTTCGCAAACTCCATGACAGACTGCCCCCACCAAATGTAGGGATGGTCTGTATGCAGTAGAAAATTCTTTGCTGCTGCTGAGGTTTCGTGGGACCTTGTACTTTGCCTGCCAAGGGGGCATGACAGTTATTAAGTTATAACCAATCTCAAGTTTCAACATCGAAACAGATTTTATTTGTATGTCCCAGACCTGATCCATCCCATCTATACTAATGTATAGACAGGACTTGTCCCTGGGGAGTTGCAAGTCCTCCCTGGCGGCACTCTCTGAGGCCAACATGAGTCGCCTGGCGCATCCTCGATCGGCAAAGACACCTGCCACATGGTCAGCCTTGGCTTGCATTACTTTTTTCCTGTCTTCGGTTGATTTGGCATTCTTCCTCCATTCAGAGAGGCGAGCACCTCAATCAAGATTGAAAGGAATGTCTCTGTGTTGACATGTTTGTAGAAGCGTTTGCCCATCATGGGTGATTGTGCACACAAGGTAGAAATAGACATTGATAAATAATACATACCGATGAAGGATGCCCGTGGGAATTTGGGTATTATGTTTTCTTCCTTCAAAAAACATGTTTATACAAACGTAACTGATTTAAACCATGCAACTACAAACATGCATGCATACATACACCCATGGGTACATCCATCTTTACATACATACATTCATCTGCCATCCATGCATCCATTCATACTTACAAACATTCTTCCATCTATGCATCCATCCATACATACATACATACATACATACATACATACATACATACATAACATTCAAGAGTCCATTCATCCAGCCATCCCTACATACATATTTACATGCACACATAGATTACATAGATCAGATACATTACATGCATTGCATACACACATACATTTTTGTTACATCCATCCGTCCATCCATCCGTCCATCCATCTACTGACCCATACATGCATGCATGCATGCATGCATGCATGCATGCATACATACTCATACATACTTGCTTGCTTGCTTGCTTACTTACTTACTTACATTCATTCATCTACCATCCATGCATCCATACATACATACATTCTTCCATCCTTCCATCATCCTTCCATGCATCCATCCATACATACATTCTTCCATCCATCCGTCCATACATTCACCCATACATACATACATACATTCTTCCATCCATCCGTCCATACATTCATCCATCCTTCCATGCATCCATCCATCCGGCCAGCCTTCCGTACATACAGACACAGACCACATACATTACATACGTATAAGATCTTAAATGTGTTTAAGGAAAATGCATATACTGATTCAAACGTGTATTTCTACATATACACATGGACCCAATGTATTTACATATGTACTAGCATCTAGATACTTCCAGCATGTGCGTATATAGTTGTTTTGTATTGATCAAGGCACATGTAGTGCAGCGAGCATGCTGGCTATTGTGCCTGATCTTCAATACAGTCTTCCAATTCTTGAACTCTTGTC